AATCATCAAAATGACCGAATATCGGGAGGTACCGCTATAGGGGGCTATACCAAAACGTGGACCTATACATGCAATGTTTCGCCACCGAAAATAGAACCCATTATGACCAACAAATACCAAATTTTAGAAAAATCCATAAAAAATAGGGGCAAAAATCATCAAAATACCGAATATCGGGACGGTACCGTTATATGGGGGCTATACCATAGCCTGAGCCTACACAAACAATGCTTTGCCACACGAATTAGGACCCATTATGACCTAAAAATACCAATTTTCAGACAAATCCGCGAAAAAGTGTGGCAAAAATCATCCAAATACCGGATATCGGGTGGTGCCGTTATATGGGGACTATACCAAAACGTGGACCGATATATCTCATTTTCAATACCACCCATCCTAAACACAATACAAATTATTCTGTTAAATTTTGAAGCTCTACGTCAAATGTGGCCTGTATCGTGATTTCAACAGACAGACAGACAGACGAACGGACGATATCTTAGATATTAGCATCAATCTGAAGGTTAGAAGTGATATTTTCGTATAATTAAAAATATCGCGGTTTAATAAAACATTATGGTTTCACCTGCCAAATACCTATTCGATGACCATCCAAGTTGGCCCCATGCTAAATTCCAAGTCGATTGGCCTATAATTGTGACCTCTAGAGCAACTGCAAAATCAAGAAATTTTTCTGTTTTTATCCATTTCAACCCCTAAATATTTTGCGATTATCTCCACAAACAATAGTCTTCTATCCTGACATGCAGCAATTCGTGAATCTGGGGCCATATTTACGACTTGTAGCATAATAACAATTTAATATGGACTGATAAACATATATCTTGTACCAATATTGTGGGGGTGTTACATAATTTTTGGCCAATCAACACATAGTGTTGTAGGACATGAAGAGCTGCAAATTATTTAGTTCTACCTTTGTCAACGTGAAAATTGATAAGAAGATAGATTGAAAACCCAAAAACATATTTTTTGAGTTATGCCAGTCTCATTTACTAAACTTTGATTTTTAAGTGAATATATTATTGATTCCAATTGACTTTTGATCCATTTTTTATTTAAGACGTGTGCGGCATAGTGAAATCATGTTTATAGAATGGGCGGCAACCAAAGCCTTGTTTACCCCCCCATGAGAACACTTGTTTCAATAACAATTATTTGGCGGTAATTTCTTAAAAATAAGCATTTCTGTACATCAACAATACCAATTAATGCGTAATTAAAATGATTTGATTAACCCTTAAATCGGTGCAGGGGTATCAACAAATCTTAAAAGTTAGAAAAATTTTGGAATATAAAAGATATTCAAGTTTTTTTTTTTTCAAATCTTTATTTCCCATGTTCATTGTACTTCAATTCAATATATAAAAAAATAGTTTTTTAACTTTTTTTATAACAATTTGGTAGTTTATGGGTTAATTAAACTGCTATTTTTGCCAAAGTACATAAAAAGTGCAATCCAAAGTGCTACATTTTACTGAGTATTCTAACGTTTCCTATTCAAAACGGTTGTGTTGAAAATGGAATAATCCAAACTTTATCAGGAAACAAACGAATTGCAACGGGCAAATGCAGCTTCAATCGCAAAGGAATTTTCTCCCAAATTTAATTGGCGTTCAGAAAAATTGGATACAATAATCGATATTGGTTCAGCCATTGGTGATGTATTTTTGGAAGTGGTTTGTCCTTTATTTGGCAGACAATTTAAAAGAATCGTTTGTTCAGATCTAAATTCGAATATGGTGGAATATGGTCGAAAACATTATGGCAAGAAAATCAAAAATTGTGAATTCGTGTTCTAAATATTGCCGGGGAATTACCAGGTGATATGAAGGGACAATTCGATCATTTGTTGTCGTTCTTTTGTCTGCAATTGATACCAAATCAAAGGTAAGTTATTAGTTATTATTAAATGTGTACAGATGCATAAAGACGAAATATGATTTACGAAATGTGTTTTTGTGTACTAGACATACGAAATGTACTTAATGCGAAGTAGCTATGTCAGAATTCTGAAATTTGTATGACGTCACTATTTGTGAAGTGTTGGTGTGTGTGAAAATTTTGGGAAACTGTAAAAAATTAATACTTAATCCCAAGAAAGGGAAAATATTGTAGGTATAAATCTTTCATCCGCATGTGGGTCACTATGAATTCAAGGCAATAGTTTTTAGAAAATGAGTACAAAATAGTGTCATGTTTTTTTTTTTAATTCTGAGATTTAGTGCTTGATGTGGGTTCTAAATTTTTACTACTGCATATGTTGTGTGCTGAATTGTGCCGATTTGTATGCCCTACACCATAGCATAGAACCACATTTTGACTCGTCCGTCCGTCCGTCTGTCTGTCTGTCCGTCCGTCTGTCCATGTATTTTTGTAAACAAAATGCAGGTCGCATTTATTATTCGATTGAAATGAAATTTTGTAAATAGCATTTGTTTGGTTCAAGGACGAACTTTATTGAAATTGGTGAAAATCGGTCCAAATGTAAATATAGCTTCCATATATATCTTCATCCGATTTTAAGTTTCATATGCCCCAAATGGCTAATATCAGTCCAAATGGTGTGAATTTTGCTACATCCGACCGAATTCAGCCTACAAGCATGTGCTTCAAATTTGGTGAAAATCGGTTCAGATATAGCCATAGCTCCATATATATGTTTCATCCGGTTTTGGTGTTTATGTCCCTCCACAAGACTGATATTTAGTACCAAATATCAGATACAGCCTAGCAATTTATAGATCAAATTTATCAAGTTCGGTTTAAATTTGGATATAGCTCCCATATTTATCTTAATCCGATTTTAGGTTTCTTGTGCACCAAATGGCTAATATCAGTGCAAATGGTGGAATTTTGGCACTTCCGACCGAATTAGGTGTTGTTGTTAAAAATAGAAAGTACTTTAAATTTGGTGGAAATCGGTTCAGATATAGCTATAGCTCCCATATATATGTTTCATTCGATGTGGGGTGTATATCACATTTGTAATATACACCCCACAAAAATGATATTTAGTACCAGATATTAGATTCAGCTTAGCAATACATAATTCAAATTTTACCAAGATCGGTTCAGATTTGGATATAGCTCTCCTATATATATTCGTCCGATTTTAGGTTTCTTCTGCACCAAATGGCAAATTTCAGCCTAAAGTGAGTGAAATGTTGCACTTCCAAGCATTCAAGAAGATTGTACTTAAATTTGGTGAAAATCGCTTCAGATATAGCTATAGTTTTATAAAGATCGGTTCAGAATTGGATATAGCTCCCATATCATTATCCAATTTCAGGTTTATTGTGCACCAAATGGCTAATATTAGACAAACGTATTTCAACCGAATTTAGCATAGAAGCAAGAACTTCAAATTTTCTTCCATACATATGTTTCACGCGATTTGGTGTTTAAATCTCCATCTTTCGGAATATGCACTTTACCCTAATCATATTTTGTACCAGATATCTCATAGAGCTCAGAAATACCAATATAAACCTTTCTTTTAAGAGAGCTCTACTAAATATGCATAGTGGTATAGGCTATCATATAGTCGCCCGACTTTTGAGCTTCCCTTGCTGGTTTTTATTTGGAATTCGAAAAAAATTTCTGTGATATTCGAAAATTTTTTTTTTCGAAAAATCGGAGAGAATACCAATTTTCCGATTGTGCTCATTTGTGCCCTTCATTTTTTTTTGTCGAAAACGACAATTTCGGAAGCTTGCCAGAGTTGCAATTTTTGAATTTCGAAATAGTAAGTGTTGTGCTGGGTTGTGATCGAACTTGTGCCGTCAATGTCTTCAACCGTTTTCGATTTATTTTAAACAACCAGCATTTTCAGAAAAATTCCTGTTATATTTTAAAAATTAAAAGGCGAAATGCGGTAAAATGTGCTGAGTTGTGCTCACTTAGTACAATTTTTCGTCCATACTTAACGAATGTCTACCTTTACTAGTTAGTTGCTAAAAAATTTAAAATATTGTAGAGCTGTTGAGAAATTTGGAATTTTGGAAATTTGTTGTTGTGTTGATTTGTACTCGTTACTCGTTAAATTCAATATCGCATATTTAGAAGATATTGGAAATTTAAAATTGTGCTGATATGTGCTATCCTAGCACAATTTTCGTCCATACATTGAAAATTTGTATTTCCACTCGTTACTAGTTAAAATCAAAACAAGAAAATTATCAGGCCGAACTTTTTATACCGTCAACATTTGAAGTTGTTCAAAAAAAATTCCATTGAAAAATTTCGCTCTAATAAAAACCGTTATTTGGGGACTATACGAGATGTGGTCCTGCATAAGTAATATTTGCCATAGGCTGTAGTAACGGTTCCGAACTTCAAATACGAAAATTGAAACAATTTTGGTGAATAATGTTGCAAAAATCATGAAAATACCGAATATCTGCGGGTTCCGTTATATGAACGCAATGCTAAAACGTGAACCTATATAAACAATTCTCTCCTAGGGCACAAAATACTACGAAAGAACCCTTGTGTGGATTTTAGGACAATTCCATTGAAAAATTCGGCTGAAATCATAAAATTACCAAACGATATCGTGGACCTATATGGACAATTCTCTTGTCGGGAAAGAAGTAATCGCAAGGAACCCCTAGTGTAGAATTTTAGACAAAAAAGTCAGAAAAATACCGAATATCGGGGGGTACCGTTATATGGAGGATATACGATATACGTGGACTGATACAGCCCATCTTTAAACTTAACCTGCCTGCAGACAAAATACGGATCTGTGCAAAATTTTACAGACAGACGGACGGACAGGGCTAAATCATCCTAGAATTTTACGCTGGTCAAGAATATATATATATAATTTGTTGGGTCTAAATTCTTGTTTAGATGAGTCACAAACGGAATGACGAACTTAATATACCCTCCATACTATGTATGTATGGATGGAGGGTATAAAATATATATAGAGGGTGAGATGAAAAAACTGCAGCCAACTTCAGACTGCTGTCATTTCTAAGCCACTCGTCTGACAACTGTTAAAATTATTTCATTGGCAGCTCATTATATTGTTTACAAGCGTACAAAAGCATTTCGAAAAATAAAGAAGTGACTTGATCGAAACCCGCGTGGCCGAAAGATGGCTCGTGAGCTGAACATATCGCAATATTCCGTTCGGAAAATTTTGAAAAATGAGCTCGGGATAAAGCCATTGAAATTCCAAAAAGTGTAAGAACTTATACCGCAATAGAAAGAAAATAGACTTAAGAGCTAAAGAGTTGCTTTGCTTGGCCGAAAGTGGTGAGCTGCCGCATTTGGTTTTCTCCGTTTCCGAAGAGAAAACATTCGTTGTCCAGTAGTTTGTAAATAAACAAAATGATCATGATTACTTGCCAACGAGGTCTCCGCTCGCATTAATCGAATATTAGAATAAATACCGAATATTATCGCGAAAAATTTTTTGGATGGTGCACGCAAACACTTTGGCCGCAGACCTTGGACATTATAACCGGACCTCACTACCATCGCACTCAGCACGCGCCATCCTAGAATGGTTACAAAATGAGGTTCCTCGCTTCATTTCCATCGCACAATGACCACTAAAATCTCCAGATACCGATCCGTTGGTCTATTCTGTCTGGAATATTGTGGAAAGCAAGGTTGGCATTAAAAAATAGCAAAGTGCCGATTACGGTTTCATTGGCCATTTAAAGGCCATAATTCGTGCCAAATTCAAATTCGAACAAATCTAAACTTATTCTAAAATTTGATGATATTTCCGACATTTTTCCTTACATTCAATAAAATTTAAAAAAATATAAAATTATGGCGTTTGGCTTTTTTGTTGTTTTTTTATCTCACCCTGTATTTAATTTTTAGTACATTTTAGTACTTTTCGTACACCTTTCGATACGAATTTTCAAAAAGCACGACTTATCGTACGCCTACGTACCAAGACTGAACTTCGTGCAAAATTTCAACATTCCAGCTTCTGGACGTTGATTCAAGATCAGTCAGTTATTCCACTATTCTTGTATACATATAGATAGATGATCATCTATAAAATATCGAAGTTTTTTTTACACAAGATTCTCACCAACAACTTACCACGAATACTTTCTATCCTAACTATAAAAGACCGATAATAATTTTTCATCTATAGAAGACCTTCCTCTCCTATTGTGAATATACATAAAAAAGACATTTTTTCTTTTCCAGAAAAGCTTTTCAAAACATCTACTCTCTTCTACGACCTAGTGGGGGTAATTGCCTTTTGACTGCATTTGCTCGCTCCCCCTACTACGATGCCTATCTGCATTTGAGTAAAACCGAACGGTGGTCCTCCTATATGGTCGACGTTGAAAAGTACACCTGTTCCTGGCATTATGCCTACGATCCAGTTGGAGAAGTGGAGGAAATTTTAGGCGATTGTGGTTTCCACGACGTCCACGTACAGTTGAGACCAACAATCTATACCTATGGCAGCATAGAGGATTTTAAAAGTAAGTTCAAATTTCTTTCAAGTTTTAATTCATATTTAAAATGTATGATTTTCTCCACAGAAAACATGAAAGCTGTCTCACACTATACACATCGTATTCCAGCTGAGTTACAGGATGAATTTATGAATAATTTTGCCGAGGCCATGATTAAAGCTAAACCGCATTTTAAGTTTTTCAATTGTGTACGTCAGGGGGCGTTTAATTTTCCCTTTGAACAGTTGATAATTTTTGCCAGACGATGAAAAGCGAATTTAAATTTGAGATACAATTGTAAATAAAAATAAAACATAACAATTGTATTTTTTGAAATTTTTTTGTATCTGAAATTAATAAAATAATTAAATTGTATTTATAAATTTATTATACACATATTTATATCAACTTATTGTATAATAAAATTCTATATCCCACGTGTCCACTATCCAACAGATTTTTTTTGATGATAATCAGTTTTTGAATATATTGAATCTCACACATTTTTACAATGACTTTCAGTTATTCTATTCAATATTGTATTTGAAATAAGACAAAGATATTTTCGAAAGCAATTACAAACTATCACAACAAGGTCAAGTTCAAGACACCATTTTTTGAATATTTAAAATAATTTTTTGTACAGTTTTAGGTCGATGAACTGCAGTGGGCTGAACGTGTGATACTATAAACAAAAGATATTAGCAAATGATTGGGAATAGATACTTGTGAATGACATTTAGGGTCAATAAATATTCACTGTTTCGATATGGGAAATAATAAAAAACTAGTAAAAAGTCCTCCACCATTTGGAACGAATTTGGCAATTTGAAAAAAAAAATAAATAAAATCCATTAAAAATTCGGTTAAAATCTTAAAAATACCAAATGTAGCCGTCATATGTGTCTAAACGACGATGTGGACCTTCATAGGTAACATTTGTCATAAGCCATTACAATCGGTTATAATGTCGATAAAACCAAAACACCGAATATCGGGAGGTACCGTTATATGGTGGCTATACGAAGACGTGAACCTGCACAGACAATTTTCTGTCATAGGGTGTAGTATCCATTACGAACTTCAAATACCAAATTTGAAACAATTCTGGTGAAAAATGCCCATAAATCATTAAAATACCGAATATCGGGGAGGTACCATTATATGGGGGCTTAACGAAGAGTTGGACCTGCACAGACAATTTTTCTATCTTAGGCTTCAGTATCCATTACGAACTTTAAATACCAAATTTGAAACTATTCCGGTGAATAAATTCGCTAAAATCGTCAAAATATCGAATATAGGGAGGTACCGTTATATGGGGGCTATACCAAAACGTAGACCTACATGGCCCATTTTCAATACCAAAAGTCCTGCAGACATAACATACATTTGAGCAAAATGTTATCAATCTACTTCAATTCGTTCGGAAGCTAGAGTGATTTCCACAGACGGACAGACGGACGGACATTGACATAGAATTGTATGCTGATCAAGAATATACAAATACTTTGAGGGGTCTAAAATGTGAATTTCGAGGTGTTACAAACGGAATGACAAACTTAATATACCCTCCATACTATGGTGGAGGGTATAAAAATGTCGGAAATAGCATCAAATTTTTTTAATTTTAGATTTGTTTGAATTTGTCACCTTTGGCACGAATTATGGCCTGCAAACGGCCAATGAAACCGTCACACGATACCCGAATGCTGCTCTGCGGTATTTTTGCCCATTCAGGTGATCGACACTTTGGTATTTTTTAGTGCCAACCTTGCATTCCACAATACTCCAGACACAGTCCAACGGATTGGTATCCGGAGATTTTAGTGGCCATTGTGCGCTGGAAATGAAGGGAGGAACCTCATTTTGTAACCATTCTTGGGTGGCGCGTGCTGAGTCCTGTTGGAATATCCAAAGTCTGCGGCCAAAATTATTGCGTGCCCACGGCTTTAATACACCCTCCACAATATTTTCGCGATAATATAGGGCATACAGTCGATTAATACGAGCGGAGAGCGACCATCAGCTGTTATGGCGGCCCACACCATCACCATGGCCGGCACTTGAGTTCTGGTGGTCAACCGAAGGTGCACATTTTCAGCTGACCTATTTGGCAAGTAAACACGATTATTTTGTTTGTTTACAAGAAAACCAAATTCGGCAGTTCACCACTCGAAGCGACTCTTTAGCTCTTTTGAGTCTAGTTTCTTTCCGTTGCGGTTTAGGTTCTTGCACTTTTTATACCCTACACCACAAGGTGGTCAGGGTATTATGTCTTTGTGCATTTGTTTGTAACAGGCAAAAGGAAACGAGATAGACCCTTAGTTCCTTTTGACGATCTGAATCACATAGAATCACTTTCTGTGTTGATTTATGCATGTCAGTCCGTCCGTCTGTCCATGTATTCTTGTGAACAAAATGCAGGTCGCATTTATTATCCGATTGAGATGAAATTTTGCAAACAATATTTGTTTGGCCCAAGGACGAACCCTATTGAAATTGGAGATAATCGGTAAAATTTAGATATAGCTTCCATATATATCTTCGTCCGATTTGCTTCTTATTGTGCACCAAACGTGTAATATCAGCCCGAATAGTATGGAATTTTGCACATACAACCAAATTAAGCCTGAAAATAAGTATGCCAAATTTGATCGAAATCGGTTCAGATATAGCTATAGCTCCCCTATATAATGTTTATCCGATTTGTTACTTTTTGTCCTCCGCAGCCGTAATATACACTCTGTAACAACAATATTTGGGGAAATATATCAAATGCAGCTCAGAAATACCTTTGCTAAATTTTATCGAGATCGGTTCAGATTTGGATATAGCTCCCATATATAACTTCGTCCGATTTACCTTTTATTGTGCACCAAACGTCTAATATTTGCCCAAATGGGATGGAATTTGGCACATACGACCTAATTTAGCCTAGAAGGTAGTATGCCAAATTTGGTGGTGATTGGTTCAGATATAGCTATAGCTCCCATATATATTGTTCATCCGATTTGTTGTATTTGTTACCTACAGCCGTAATATGCACTCCGTAACAACGATATTCAGGGAAATATATCAAATACAGCTCAGAAATATATTTGCCAAATTTTATTGAGATCGGTTCAGATTTGGATATCTTTATATGATTTCAAATTAATTTTGCACCAAATGGGAAATACAAGTCCGAATTTAAAAGATACAAATGCTTCTCCATATTTAGTCCTTTGAATATTAAATTATAATTATAATCATAGCGTGTATGATTGAATTCTCCCATAAAAACTTTTAATTGTTATGTGGTGCTCTACTAAATTAGCAAAGTGGTGTAGGGTATCATAAAGTCGGCCCCGCCCGACTTATGACTTTCTTTAATGGTTTAATATAATCCTCTTCCAAGTGATATATGCACTCTATACCGAACTATAACTGCTCTAAAGCCAAATGTTGATAGATGGTATGATATACTTGAACATTCTTTTGTTACGGAAGCTCTACGGAATATGTATAGTGGTGCATAGTGGTATCATATTGTCGGCCCCGCCCGAATTTTGAATTTTCCTTTCCTGATTTTAATTTTTATCATGTAGAAACGTTACAACAACATTTAATCGCATAGGGAAAAATAAATAATGAAATATTTTGAAATTCTAAATTGAAGTAATATTTTTTTGAAGATTCATTGATTCACCCATCCATCCATAGTACGATGAGTTCATACACGTGTATACTGTGGAAGGCTAAGAGTCTAAATCTGTAGACAAATCCGAATGATAATTTCTAACTAGTGCTCAATTTTCAAACTATGTTTCATAATCCGGTACTGATACTTTTTTTAAATCAAATTTTAACATTGCCACCCAATAATTTCCATCTCATTAGAAAATTTGAAAATGAAACATTAGATAGACCTCAGGGACCAATTGTTTAATCTTCAATGCCACAATTGAACAATTTCAAATACAATTTATTGCCCACAAATCAATTGTCGAAAAGTATTAGAAAATCCATTGACTGATAAGATTCGATGACATGGGCGTAGCGCCGTGTGGGCGATGGATTTGTTTGTAAACAAATCGATTGTAAATGCATTCATTATTGGCTATCCCCCCTCAGGAAAAACAACCCTCACAACTACGCATGGCCGATGCCATTGTCGTTGCTATGGCCGTGACAGTGAAAATTGAAAAAATCACCTATTGACACATTCTCGCTATGTTTAGATGAACAACAATGGGAGAATGTTTAAAATTCAGCTTCCAAATCGCGTTACATTTGAATACGAATAGAAGGTGAATGAATGAATGACAGCGAAAAATGAGAAGCCACAGGCGCGGAACATCGAACGTTTCCAGTGAGATTCGTATAAAAGAAAATATTCCGGGAAGAATACGATTTAATGTCAATCGAAGCGGCCGTCTGTTAACAACGCGTTGTGCTACCTCCCCCACACAGAGTCGAGAGAGCGAGAGAGAAGGAGAGAAATCTACAAAAACAACAAAATTCATTCATAGCCCTCAGCATGAATCAGGCCTGCCTCTATCAGCGTGCTAACGAGGTACAGCGTTACGATGCGGAAGAAATTCTCCAAGAATATGCCGAGAAATTTGTGTGGCGCCATGATGGCTTGGATTGCCTGCTGGATGTGGGTACCGGTTCGGGAGATGTTCTCATGGATTTCATCTACCCCATAATGCCCAAGCAATTTCAGAGTGTTGTGGGTTCGGATGTTTCACGGAAAATGATGCAGTTTGCCGAGAAGTGTTATAGCCGAGAGAAGCAGTGCAGTTTCCGGGTGTTGGACATAGCCACAAAGGATAAGCTGCCAGAGGATATGGTGGGGGGGTTTGATCATGTGACATCCTTCTATTGTCTACACTGGATACAGAATCAAAGGTAAGGATCTGAAAAAAAGGAATATTTAAATAAACTTTCTGTGAATTTCAGACAAGCCTTGCAAAATATTTACGATCTCTTGCGCCCAGAGGGTGGTGATTGTCTACTGGTTTTCCTGGCCACAAATCCGGTATTTGATGTTTACAAGCTGCTTAGCAAATCCACCCAGTGGTCGCCGTACATGAAAGATGTACATCGTTTTATTTCCCCCCTACACTACTCCAGCGATCCAAAAATGGAGTACACCAAAATGCTAAAGGAAACTGGTTTCACCGACATCCAGGTGGATCTGAAAGAGAAAGTCTACATTTATGAGGGCTTGGAGACCTTAAAAGGTGTTAAACTGACACAAACGCTAATTTCCATAAATAATTTTCTTTTTTTTTCGAAATTTTCAGATAACGTCAAGGCAGTTTGTCCCTTTCTCGATCGCATACCTTTATCGCGCCACAATTCATTCTTGGATGACTTTGTCAACATTGTCTCGCACGATCTTGATTTGAGGCACATTGAGGCAAATGGGGAAATTCAAAAATTCATTTCGCCCTACAAATTGTTGGTGGCCTATGCCAAGAAACCAGCTTTGATTGAAAATCTTCTCAACGATTTGATCATCTCGGTTGAAGCGGAAGCCGGCGAAGCAGAAGAGAAGAAACATATTAATTAGTTTTAAGACAAGATAACATCTGTTTTCTTTTTATGTGATAATAATTAGTTACTACTACTACTTCTATGAACGAACTGTGTAAAGTCTCTCGGGGTGAATATATTACGAATATTGTTGGAGAGAATTGAAGTTTCATTCATGGTGTGGTAGAACTAAATAAGGTTTTTTTGGAAATCATGTCGGTTACACTGTACAACACAAAAAATAATCACGGAGAAAATCCAGCAGAGTATGAAAGAAGAGCTAGAAATAGAAGACACGTGCATAGACTTTTTAAAAGTAACCTAAATAATGGGGGCAAGATCCCCCTCTTCCAAAATTTTCTACATTTTCGTTTTAAGATTCCTTAAAATTCATAGATTTTAGGTACAGGGTTGACCATATTCGACGCCATAACTTTTGACAGAGATGTCACATCGCTTAATGACATACCACGTTTGAAGCGTCAGTCCAAGCAGATTTTTACCATGAACCAATACACGCCACGCGAGCGCTCTGAAATAGTTGAAATTTACATTCAACAGAAGAAGTCAATTGTGAAAACTCAACGTGCTTTTAAAACATTATAGTGCCTTGGGCAATATTGCAGACAAAACTACTAGCACTATTTTGGTTCCATATTTTAACCCTCTAGTGAATCATTAAATTGAACTTTTTGGCCTTTTTTTTTCCAAAATATGGCTAAAAACTCTCTTTAGTCGTGGTCGTAGCCTATCAAAATATTATACAAAATTATTGGTCATAAGAAACTACTACAGGTCCCAAAAGGCATTAAAAGTCTAAATCTTACCTAAACGTCAGTAATTCATATATATTAAAGAGACATTTTAGGGTAAAATGGTACTTTATGTGATTTTATACAAGAATCTCTAACAGAGCCGGATGACGCCAAAAACCAAAATATTCTTAATCGAATTTCACTATAAGCTACTTAAGAAAATAAATTTATATTTCCGTTGTGTTTCTAAAAAATATTTGCATTAATGTTCCGAAAAAACCGAAACTGTCTCCTAATTATACCCTTCAACACTATGTGTTGGGGTTATTATAAATCTGATGGGCCAAATGCGCATAGGAAACTATATATCGATCTTCTCATCTAGCCGAGATATTGGGCGCTAAACCAATTAGTAGACCTGAAAATAATAGACCTACCAAGAACCCCAAATGCAAATAAGTTGAACAGATTTGGCTGGAAATTGTGCCAGAAACCTTAAAAATACCTAAAATCGGGTGGTACCGTTGTATGGGGGCTATATAATATTTTTTCCACTCGATTTTTCTCTTAGAGCAAATTTTCCCTCCATTTCTAGCGATTTAGCTCCCACTATGATTGGCAGCGCTTCCTCGAAAAAATAAAAGAGTTTAGAATAAACTCCGTATAAAACGCCCATTCTTCGACCAATCCCACTCGCCCATTCTTCGACCAATTCTGAATGAAAACGAGCAAATCTGTATTCTAATAAAAAAGAGTTAAAACATGTAAGCAGAGGCTATAGCGTGCGGGGCCGACCATGTGATACCCTACAACACTACAAGACGGTAGAAGCCCCCTTATGTCCAAATCCATTTTGGAAGATTTCGCTCTTGAAATTATGTAACGGAGCACTGCCTAGATATTACCCTTAGCATTTTAACCAGAACATTTACCCAATATTTACGCCCTCCGTCGTGCTATTAGTTGTTGTGGTCCATTTTGCTGCTAAATATAATCCAATGGTCATCCAAAATGCTAAAATTCTGCCCTATCCTTAACTCCCTTCTCAGGCGTGTCGATTGGCTTCAATTGTGTGATCTGGAAATTTTTTCTGTTTTTGGTCCATATTAATATATTGCGGACATCTTTGAAAACAATAGGCCTAGCCCTTCTGAGCCTAACCCTACCCTTGTGAAAATTTTCGTGAGGATCGAACGATAATTGAAATTTGTATGTAATAACCCCCCCCCCCCAAAAAAAAAAAAAAAATATACACTTCAAAATTAAAAGTCAAATTGAAAAAATCGCATGCGATAAAAAATATGAAAAAATAAAAATGTGTCACAAAATACTCCAAAATCTGTATTATCATCATTATAGGCATGTTCTTATGCGATTTTTTAGATTTTATACTTATGTGGCAAGAGGACATTCTGAATTGACAAAATTTGTCAAAATCACTCCAGCCATTCTTGAGATATAAACATTTTAGCTGACATCCCCTTCCTTTGTATATATACATTGTATATATTTCGCTATATATATCCGATATATTTACTATCTTCATCTACGTAACGGTTAGAATTGACCTGTTCGTTTATTTGTGATTTCGCTGGGATTAAAAATATTCGCGGTTTAATGGCTTAATTCTAACTTCCGCGTCGATTGGTCTATAATTGGGACCTGTAGAGCAACTGCAAAATCAGGGTTTTTTCTGTTTTTGGTCCATTTCAACCTCTAAATATTATGCGATCATCTCCAAAAGCAATAGGCTTCTATTCTGGCTCTAGCCCCACCTCCATTCTATATTACGTTTAGATCGGGCCATAATTGCGACCTGTAGAGTGATTACAAATTAACATGGACAGCCGGACGGACGAACATACATAGCTAGATCGACTCATCTCGGCGATATAGGAAGATCCATTTATACTTTCCTATGTGGGAAACCAATATTTCGAGGTGTTACAAAATTTTTGGACCAATCAAACTTATAATACCCCCAACGCATAGTATTGTAGGGTATAACAATTTGGTCGGTTTCCTGACAGATTTATACCGTCAGAATTCGATAATTTACTTATGTATACCCTCTTTGGGACACCCAATTAACATCTCATCTATATACTAAAAATAATATTGGTACAAATATGTCACTGTGAAAACTTTGATGAGAACTGTGGAATATTTTCCCATTTCATGAGAGTCATAATATTCAAAACATTAGCCCTGTGCGTAGAAGGTACCAAAAATTACAAAATTTTACAAGGGCTTCAATTATTTCCAATCCAGAATATTTTGACCTTTTGGGGGAGGTACCAAAAGGAGAGGTCCCTTCTAGCAGATATAGAAGAAGTACAATTATTGGGATGTGCGAAATTGGAAGAAAATCGGCCCCCTATTTTATATTTTATGGGAGTTATGATTGTTCGAAATTTTTTACCCATTGTGCGAGATGCTTCTGTTTGAAAAAAGGTACTAGCGAATTCTGGGTACAAATACATATAATCCGATCAGAGAGTGGCACGATTTTATTACACGAGAGCCGCAAATAACTTTTTACCTACTCCCTCCCTTTCTTTCCCTCTCTCTTTTCAAAATCAAGGTCAGAATCGCTCTTCGGACTTAACTCTGACTGGAGAAGAGCAATAATGAGAGATGTAAGCTGTGTGAAGATGGAAAGGACGTACTATGAGAGGCCTTATCAAACTTTACCCCAGAAACTAAAAAAAACATGTCAATAATTTGATCAAAGAGACGATTGCATATTCCTAACTGCTGATGGTGGCATGATATATGTAAAAAGTAAAAAGCAAATAAAACTTGATTACAGGGGCAGATAGCTTCAAACTAACGTTCTTTATTTGTTTTGGTACAGGGAAATGCGGCGGCATGCATAGAATCGCATTCTGAGTCCATTTATGTATGTCCGACCTTCTGTCTATCCATGCATTTTTGTAAACAATGTACAGGTCGCATTTTTTGCCCGATCCAGATGAAGTTTTGCACAAATCATCAAGGACGATCCCTTTTGAAATTGGAGATAATCGGTCAACATTTAGATATAGCTCCCATATATTTCTGTCCGATTTGCTTTATAATATATAATATTAGCCCAAATGGTATGGAATTTGGCACTTACGACCAAATTAGGCCTGAATATAAGTATGTCGATTTTTTTGGAAATCGGTTCAGATATAGTTAAAACTCCCATATACATTGTTTATCCGATTTGTTATTTTTGTCCTCAGGAGCCGTAATATGCACTCCGTAGTAACAATATTTGTGTAAATGTATCAAATACAGCTCAGAAATACCTTTGCAAAATCTTATCGAGATCGGTTCAAATTTGGATATAACTACCATATATATCTTTATCCGATTTTAAGTTAATTATACCAAATGGGTAATACAAGCCTGAATTGAAAAGGTATAAATGCCTCGGCAAATTTAGTAGAAATCGAGATTATTCCTTTCATATACTAGTTCCTTTGGGCTTTAAATTATAACTATGGTCATGATTTAAGTCTCACAAATTCTCCATAAAAAACTTGTATTTGTTATGTGAAGCTCTACTAAGACTTTCTTACAGGTTTATGCCCCCTACAATAGCAATATCTGTTTTAGACCCTCAAAGTATACATATTCTGAGTCAGCATACAATTTTTTGTCGATTTAGCCAGAAGGAAGTAAATCCAATTTGAACAAAGTTTCAAAATTGTGGTTTGCTGTTCGCAATAGATGTGACAAAAATTAACTGTACAGAAGAGTGAACCTTAAGCAAAGCCTCAAAGCTCTTGCCCTCTTTATTACTTACTATGGAGGATACTATGGAGGGTATATTAACTTTGTCATTCCGTTTGTAACTCCTCGAAATATTCATGTCAGACCCAACAAAGTATATATATTCTTGATCAGCGTAAAATTCTAAGCCGATTTAGCGATGTCCGTCTGCCTGTCTGTCCATCTGTCTGTTGTAATCACGCTATCTTTCGAACAAATTGAGATAGAAGGCTAAAATTCTGCACACATGTTTATTTTTCCAGTAGGCAGGTTAAGTTCGTAAATGGATCATGAAGTTTCACGTCTTCATATAGCCCCCATATAACGGTAGCGACATTATTCACCGGAATTATTTCAAATTTGGTATTTGAAGTTCGAAATGGATACTACAGCCTAAGACAGAAAATTATCTGTGCAGGTTCAAGTTTGGTAATTGATGTTCGTAATGGATACTACAGCCTATAACAGAAAATTGTCTGTGCAGGTTCAAGTCTTAGTATAGCCCCCATATAACGGTACCTCCCAATATTCGGTATTTTGATGATTTTAGCGTCATTATTCGCCGGAATTATTTCAAATTACGTATTTAGAGTTCGTAATGGGAACTACAGTCTGTGACAGAAAATTGTCTATGCAGGTCCAGATCTTCGTAGAGGCTCCATATATCAGTACCTCTCTATATTCGGTATTTTGACGATTTTAGGTATAATACCCACCGAAATTGTTTGAGATGTCGTATTTGAAATTCGTAATGAATGCTACAGCCTGCGACAAAAAA